CTCCTCCGTTCGGCGCCGGGACGCTCCGCCCGGCAGGGCTTCCGTGGTCCTCTGGGAGCGACCTCCCCCCTGCCCGCGAGCGCTCCCAGGAAGCGCCCCCCTGCCGCTGGTCCGCTCGACCCCCTGCAGGCGGTGCCGGGACGGCGGGAGACGGCCGAGGGAAGCAGCTCCCAAAGGCTCTCCCTCCCCCCTTCCCAGACCCCCTCGAGTCATGAAAAAATCACGACGGGAAGTTTTTCAAGATTTTCGGCCTCTGGGGGCCCTTACCGGCCCTCGGGACCGTCAAAAAACGACTCAGGATGAAAAGCCGGTCCCGGCGAATAGGTCCGGACCTCTGGGGGTCGCGTCATGAAAAAATCATGACGTCGGGGGTCTGGGTTGGTCGGTCGCAGACAACACTATGTCGTCGCACCACAAACAGCGTGATGGATATAGGTGTACCCGTCTTCGGCGTCCCATCTGAAACCGAACCCCTTCGAATTCCATGCCCAGGTGACTGGCGTTCCGCTCGTCTTGTGTTTCTGCCCCTCCTCGCTTCCCACTCCTGAAAGCTCCCCCTCCCCCCCCCCAAACTCGGAGCTGGCACGCACGGGGGGGGGGGACCGCAGGTCGAGGTGTGCAGCTCCTCGGAACCAGCGCCAGCCTGGAACACCCGGGGGGGGAGGGGGGGGAGGCGCTGGCCGAGGAGTGCGGCCGGGAGTGTTCGCTGTCCGAGGCCCGGGTGGCCCAGGGGCAGCCCCAGGACGGGCCGCGCCCACCGAGGCACCCACAGAGCTCCACGGAGGGCACCAGGGGGTCCCCCGGCCCCAGGAGGCACCCAAGGAGACCTGCAGCGAGGTCCCGGGAGGCCAGAAGCGAGAAGGGAGCTCACAAGATCCCACCGGCCCTCTGGGCGAAGGTGGCATGACGAGTTGTTTTTGTTTCGCTTCCCGGACCCTCCTTCCCATGATCGGAGGAGCGGTTTACCCCTCCCCATACCCCCATGCCAGGGGGGCCGAGGTGTCAGAGGGCCCTTTTTGGTCCAAGATGGCTCCAAGAGCGCCCCACATGCTGCAAGATGGCCTCCAAGATGACTCAGGGACCTCAAGATTCGGCGGCGAGCGAGGGGGGAAGTGAGAAGGAGACGACCTTCTCAGAAGGCGGCGGTACTTCTCAAAAGCCCTCGCGTCTTCTGAGAAGTTTTCTGCGCCTTCGAAGAATGCTTAGAAAACTTCTCAGAAGGCCGGGGGACTTCCGAGCCTTCTGAGAAGGCATTATCCTTTTCGTTTCCCCCCTGGGCTCGCCGCTGAAAGCTGGTTCGAGATAGCTTCCGACATACCTCCTGGAGGTTTCAAGATCACTCCAAGATGGTTCCAAGTCCTCCCCGAATCTTGCGAAGCACTCGCCGAGGAGGCTCCAAACAGTCAAAACCAAAGGAACATGAATGTGTTTGCCTTCTCGCCGTTTGGCTTCCGATAGGCTTTGAGGCCTGATGGTGGCCCTAAGATGACCCAAGATAGTCCCAATTGTGAACGACGAACTGCGACCTACGAGAAATACACCCGCGAGAGTACCGCAGAGGGGGGGCGAAGCGCCCAGATTGGGGTGAAACCTGCAAACAATGTAAGCGTGCCCAAGATAGCCCAAGAAGGGGCTCATCCCTCCACTGATCTTATGTACGTTTTCTCCTTCCTGCTCCGATTGTCAAAGATAGCGACCTCCCAGCCCCGAGAGGTTCGCAAGACAATTCCAAGAGGGCCCCCAGAAGAACCCAATGAAACTGCCTTGGCAGTGGAACAGGTGTTATACCGTTCGACACATGTTCCCGCCGATTCTGCGCCCAAGACACGTTCCCAAAGCGACTGTTCCACTGCATGCTTCTACCCTTCCCTGGACGGGTTGGTGGGGAATTTTTGTTTGCGAGCGACGCGGTCAACCGCGCGCCGTCAGAGAGCTCCTGCTGGTGGGGATACTTTTTTGGTCGCAGCCGCAAGCGAAGGCGCAGGCGGCGTCAAAGGTCGACCCGGGCTACGGGCGGAGCCTAATAACTGCTGGCGGGGATACTTTTGGTCAACGGCCTCGTAAAGCGGGTCAAAAGGCATCCAAACTCTAGCCGGGCCACGACTAGGCAGCGGAAAAGCGGAAAGCGGAAATACTGGCGGGGATACTTTTGGTCGGCGGCTCCGAGGCGGCGGACAGGGAGCGGTAGGCGTCGTCTGGGCCAGCAGGCGAAGCTAATTAGCTACAACAGGCAACGCACCTGCAGTAGTAATTCGCAAAGAGAGCGAATGTGCACATGCATTAAGCAAAATGCTCGATTAAGGCGAACGCACCTAGGCGCCAGCCGCACACTGGTGGGGATATTTTTTTTGATCTGCGGCTCCAAGGAAGATTCCAGAGAGCGGGTCGAAACAAGCATGGAAAACACGCAATATAACTGCCAGCGGGCCAAAAGCCAACGCCGGAATGCACAAGGGAATCAAGCAACGGCCGACACGCGAGAAAATTACCAGCGGGCCAAAAGCTGACGCCGAAAGCACAAGCGCCAAAAAGAGCAGGCGTGAACCCAGAGAGCGGGCCGGAACTAATTGCCAGCGGGCCAAAGCCAACGCCGGAGAGCACCAGTGCCAGAGAAGGCGTAGCGAGCTTGGGGGGCCAAGCGAAATAATTACCAGCGGGCCAAGAGCCAACGCTGGGATGCAAGTGCGAAGCGAGATAATTACCAGCGGGCCAAAAGCCAACGCCGGATGCACATGCGAGGACCAGGAACCCTCACTCCCGGAGCAACTAAGGCTCATGGACAGCTGCACGTCACCAGCAGGTCAAGCACCACTGAACACGGCCATCAGACGAAATGCACTGGTGGGGATACGCGAAGCGTCAAGAATTGCATGCGTTTTGCTGACGTTGCTTTTCGGATTAAGATTGCCCAAGAAAACCTTCAGGGAGCTCCCAAAAACAATGAACACGGCCCAAGACGGCCAGCGAATCTCTTAAGGCAGCCCAATATCGCAGCGAGACATCCCCAAGACGGTCCCGAGACCCACGAAAACTTCTCAAGATGCTTCAGCCGAGTCTCTTCGAGAGAGCTCGGTCGAACCATCGCGCCCGAGATGGCCCTGAGACTCCCAACAGGATCCTAAGAGGCCTCCAACAAGCCTGCAAGCCGCCTCGCAAACGCGAGGCAGCAGCCCTGCAAGGCTACAGCTGCGCCACGCCGCGGTATCGTAGAGCCGCTTCCCAGACGGCTCCGAGATGGACCTGCCGAGCCTGCTCGGAGACCACGGCAGAGCCACCGTGCGTGGATCTAGAAGCTGCGCTGAGACAGTGAAACGCTTTTTGCCGCTGGCAGCAGGATATACATCGATCTGGTGCCCAGGACCAGCCCAGCCAGGGTCGGTGCGGCTGGACAGCGGGAGAGCCCAGAATCGAGTCGATGAGTCGGATCGACGATCGAAATGTATCGGATGGGCGGAAATCGGCAGCCGAGTCGGGAACAGTCGAATCGGTGGGCATCGGCAGAGTAGTAAGGCCCCTTTGAGAAATCAGAATCCGCATCGGAATCCGAAGCCGAACCGAATCGGAATCGGAGGCCATCGAAATCGATTCGAATCGAAGCGGAGGAATCGAAATGAGCCCTGGGACAGTTGGCGCCCCCCGATGGTCTGGCGGCACGCCGCGGACGTGACGCCCAGAAGAGAGCCTGGGGACCCGAGGAGGCGCACGCCGCCCCCGCGCGCCCCCGGACTGGCCGCTGAGGCTCGTCGGGCGCGGAGGGGGGGAATGCCCTGGGCCATCCCGACTCGGCCGTGCGCCTGTCGGCCCGCCCTTCCCAGGGCCCGAGCGGCAGCTCCGCGGTCGCCCGCGGCCGCGCGGCGGGGAAGGCGCCGCGCAGCCCTCACGCCCCGCAGTCAGACGCCACGGGGGTGTCAGCGGCACCGGCTCGCGGGCGGCAGGCGCGACTCCGGCCGTGGCCGAGGGCAGCGGCGTCGACGTCTGCACCAGCTCCCCCACGGGAGGAGGAAGCTGCATGGACATACGCCTTCGGAGGCCCGCGTGGATCTCTTGGGTCGGCGCTGGGCGCCCGCTCCCTGGCGCGCCTCGGGCGCGCCAGGGGCCGCGCCAGAGGCGCGCGGAGAGCAAATCCAAGAAGTCCGCGCGGAGCTCTGAAAGCTCAGCGCTCAACGCCGAGGAGGGCGGCGATGTGTCGTCACCTCGTCTTCCCCCAACAGACACACCGGTGGTGCCCGACCCGACGCACTGGGCAAACCTGGAATCACCTGAGGGCCAACCTGCGATGGGCCAGCCAGCACGCGAGACCTTGGCCAGCGCAGATGAACTAAAAAACTGGCGTAGCCACGGCAACGTAGCGGCGTGGTCATCTGCACCAGATCCTCCACCCCGTCCTCCCTCCCCCTCCCCCTCCCCGCCCCCTCGAAAGGAGGGCCCGCCTCGATCCACCGCCGCAGGGTCGGTCGGCATGGAATCGAGTCTCGATGCTCGTCCTCGACCATCCTCGACCCTCGAATCCTCGACCCTCGAATCCTCGATCCTCGAATCCTCGATCCTCGAATCCTCGAATCCTCGATCCTCGAATCCTCGATCCTCGAATCCTCGATCCTCGAATCCTCGATCCTCGAATCCTCGATCCTCGAATCCTCGATCCTCGAAACTGCGATCCGCGATCCTCGACGGCGAGGAGGGGTGCAGCGCCCGTCCTCGGACTTCAGCAGGTCCGAGGGGCTTAGCGACAGCTGCAGCAGCTGGGCAGTGCTGGTGCCGATGGCCAGCACCTCCTCCGAGGGGTTGACCGCCAGCGACAGCACAGCGCCGGCGCCTCTGGAGGGGAGGCCGCCGCCTTCTGGGATCCGCCCCAGATCCCTCTTGGTGGCTCCAGATGACCTCTGGGACCCGTCCTCCTCCTCCTCCTGCGAGCCCCCCCTCCTCCTCCTCCTCCTCCTCCTCCATCCTCCTCCTCCTCCTCCTCCTCCTCCTCCTCCCTCATCCTCCTCCTCCTCCTCCTCCTCCCCTCCACCACCTCCACCTCTTCCTCCTCCTCCTCCTCCTCCTCCTCCTCCTCCTCCTCCTCCTCCTCCTCCTCCTCCTCCTCCTTCCAAGAGGGCCCCAGACGGGCCAAGAGGCCCCTCAGAGGCCTCCCAGACGGCCCGAGAGGCCTCCCAGAGGTCCTCCAAGAGGGCCCGAAGAGGCCAAAATCATTGATTTTCCTTAGGTTTTTGAAGGATGTTGGCATTTGCTTCTTCTCGGCATTCCGACGGCTCCAGACGGCCCAAGAGGCCCCCAAGATCGCCCAAGAGCCCCCCAAGAGAGCCCCATGACGGCCCAAGTGGCCTCCAAGATGGCCCCAAGAGGGCCCCCAGACGGCCCAAGAGGCCTCCAACACGCCCAAGATGGCCTCCAAGACGCCCAAGATGGCCTCCAAGACGGCCCCGAAGCGCCCCAAGAGGGTCCCCCGTTAGCCCAGAAAGGCCCCCCAGACGGCTCCCGACGGCGTCAGACGTGCCAGGAACCCACCAAGATGGCCGAAGTTGGCTCGAAGCTGGCCCAAGACGCTCCAAGAGGCCCCCAAGAGGGCCTCCAGGAAGGCCAGAAGAGGTCATTTTGACATTTCCTTCTCTTCGGCCTTCCGACGGCCCGAGACGGCCCAAGAGCCCCCAGAGATCGCCGAAAGATCGCCCAAGAGGCCTCCAAGACGGCCAAGATGACCTTCAAGACGCCCACGTGTTCCCCGAAGGCTTTCCAAACCGATTCGGGGAACACTCCAAGATGGCCTCCAAGATGGTCAAGATGGCCGAAGATGGCCTCCAAGATGGTCCAAGATGGCCTCCAAGTCCGCCCAAGATGGTCCAAGACGGCCTCCAAGACGGCCCAAGAGAGTCCAAAACGGCCCAAGACGGCCCAAGAGGCCCCTCAGAGGCCTCCCAGACGGCCCAAGAGGCCTCCCAGAGGTCCTCCAGGAGGGCCCGAAGAGGCCAAAATCATTGATTTTCCTTCGGTTTTTGAAGGATGTTGGCATTTGCTTCTTCTCGGCATTCCGACGGCTCCAGACGGCCCAAGAGGCCCCCAAGATCGCCCAAGAGCCCCCCAAGAGAGCCCCATGACGGCCCAAGTGGCTTCCAAGATGGCCCCAAGAGGGCCCCCAGACGGCCCAAGAGGCCTCCAACACGCCCAAGATGGCCTCCAAGACGCCCAAGATGGCCTCCAAAACGGCCCCGAAGCGCCCCAAGAGGGTCCCACGTTGGCCCAGAAAGGCCCCCAAGACGGCTCCCGACGGCGTCAGACGTGCCAGGAACCCACCAAGATGGCCGAAGTTGGCTCGAAGCTGGCCCAAGACGCTCCAAGAGGTCCTCCAAGAAGGCCCGAAGAGCCCAAAATCATTTGCTTATTTTCGGCCTTCGGACGGCCAAAGACGGCCTAAGAAGTCCCCGATATCGCCTCAAGATGGCCCTTGCGGCCTCCAAGATGGCTCCATAACGGCCCAGGAGGCCCCCGAGACGGCCCAAAGAGGGCCCCAAGACGGCCCAAGAGGCCACCAAGATGGCCCTGGGGCACCCAAAGAGAGCCCCAAGTCCGTTCAGAGAGGCCCCCAAGACGGCTTTCGACGGAGCCAGACGAGCCAGGAATGCCCTAAGACTGCCAAAGAGGCCCCCGAGGAGCCCCAAAAGGCCCCCAAGATGCCTCCAAGAGGCTCCGAGGGAGCTCCAAAGAGGCCCTAAGAGTGCCCCCAGAGGCTCCCAAGATGCCCCTTTCTCCTCCTCCTCCTCCTCCTCCTCCTCCTCCTCCTCCTCCTCCTCCTCCTCCTCCTGCTCCTGCTCCTCCTCCTCCTCCTCCTCCTCCTCCTCCTCCTTCTCCTGATCTTCCTTGCCTTCCTCCCCCAAGTCTTCCCCGAAGGGTTTCCACAACGGCTGGGGGAACACATGGTCCGATACCTTGGCAGAGCTCTTGCCACAACGCTCGGCCACATGGGCGATTCCACAAGGCAGGGGGCGGAGGTGAATCGCCGTAGGCGTCTTCGACGCTAGAATCATGCACTAACATACCAATAAAGGAATATGACACTATAACAAAATCCGCCACCGTGAAATTGAGCAAGAATTGGAGTGTCATCGGGTCACTTCGAGCTCCCTGCGTTGAGCTCTGCAACTGTCTCCCACGGGCCCACAGCCCCGAGCTCCGGGCGCTCCGGAGACGCTCCTGGGAGATCTCGCGCGCTCATGGGCGGTCCCCGCGCTACTGTTCGAGAAGCCAGGAGCGCGTTGGTCGGGAGGTGCATGTCCAACATGGCTTCAGATCCCCAGGGACCGACCTGGAGACCTCTTGGGCGCCTCTCGGGCGGTCTTGGCGGCCCAGGAGGCCAAACCCGTCAAACTCCAGGTGTGTGCTGTATGGCTTTCGTGTTACCGCCTTTGCGGTCTTCAGAGCGTGCAAGGCGGCCCAAGAGGCGCCCAAGATCGACCCAAAACGGCCCAGGAGCCCCCAAGAGGAGCCCAAGAAGCCCCCTAGACGGCCCCAAGAGGGGCCCAAGGTGGGGAGCACGAACTGACAGTTTGAGCCTTCTGCCCCAAGATGGCCCCAAGATCCCCACACAAGCCCCCGAGGTGCGCCCAAGAGGCCCCAAGAGGCCCCCAAAAGGCCACGCGAGGCCCAAATCAGGCCCCAAGAGGCCCCCAAGATGCCCCAAGACACCCCCAAAACCGTCTCCAAGAGGCATCCGAGCGGCATCCCAAGAAATCCTCACAGGCATCCAGAAGGCCTGACCCACGACCCAGGCAACGTGGCGGGATGGGCCGAAGGCCACTGGATGATAATATAAAGATATGACTCAACGATGCGATCATCAAGCAATGCACTAGTAACAGCATGACACTACAAAAACAGCTGAGCATGATAATACCATAGAAACAGTACAACATTCGAACATTCTAACAAAGCTCTAGATGAAGAACAGAAGAATCCCCCCCCCCGAAAAAACGTCGCCATAAGACGAAGCCATGACGTGGATGAAATCGGGTGAGGATGGATAGCGAATCTCTGCAATCCAGCGGCTCTGGAGGATGTTTCGGGCGCCGCGACCTTTCCAGAACGTTCCGGAACGCTCTCGGCGTGTTCTGGAACGCCCTGGAACGGATTTATCCTCGTCATACACTAGGGGCCCGACCACAAGAAACCTTCCACAAAAAACCCAACCCTGAGACCCCTCAGGACGTCCATCGATTTTTGGTGTGGGAACGTCACGCTTTCCATGGCAAAACCATCGAAACCCAAGAAACCCAGGACACCCTGGAGGCAAGCAGGGTAATTCTTGGCATGGGCCCCCACTGTAGCCCCGTCCGAAGCCGCCCACGTCCTGGCAGACAACGCTTCCAAGCCTGCCTGCCTGGGAACCGACACTCCCGCTACGACCGGGGCCTGGCCAGGACCCGGGGGGTCCCTGGGGGCGGTGGACACTCTCCACAGGGGTGAAGTACGTAAGGGGGGGAACGGCTCAGGTGAGAAACATCGACCTGGAGTCGGCGACGCCTCGCCTACAGATCGCTGGGCGGGGTGGGCTATCGGGCCCCAGTCGGCGATCAGTGGGCGATCCAGGGTCGATGAATCACACCCACCCTGAGCGTATCCCCCCCGACGTTGCCTCTGACCTCCACTCTCCCGAGCCTGGCCCCGTGGAGCCGGTGCTGCCGACGTCCTTCACCTCCGCCTTCACCTCCTTGGCCTTCCGGTACATCTCCTTGGCGTCCTCGGACTTCTCGAACACGCGGATGATGCCGTTGTCGCCCCCCGCGACGAAGCCCTTGCTGAAGGGAGCCACGCACTGCAGCGATCGCGGCTCGTGCGGCGAGCACGGCAGCACGCCCTTGAGCTCGCCCCCGCTATCGAAGAGCAGGGCTTCCCCTGACTCGCTGCAGACGACCAGGCGGTCATCTGTCAGCCATGTGTGGCAGACGTAGTTTTGGTTGGCTGTGCCCTCGCGCTGCTTGGTCGTCTGGTTCGGGATGCTCTTGAAGGTGCCCTCCTGGAGCCTGAAGAACTTGAACACGCTCTCGCCTATGACGCAGACGACATTCGAGTCCGTCGGATTGAAGGAGCACTCGTGGATCACACTTCCAGTCGAATTGGAAACCTTCACGGCACCAAGAGGCCGTGCCTTGTCCCACGACCACAGCACCAGTGTCCAGTCTGGCGGCCCGCCCTGCGTGATCAAGAATTTGTTCTCTACGGAGAAGGCAGCACAGACGAACTCCTTCGCCTCGCAGTCTGGGTACGTCAGGGTACCGCGCCGCCTCTTGCCTGTGTTGATGTCGAAAATGGAGCAGCTTGCCCTGTCAGCAAACTTCTCGCAGACAGCAAGATATCTACGATTGGGGCTCACGGCCGTAGCCGTGATCCCCTCACTGCCTTCAGCGCCAGGGAAGACCTTTGACTGGGTCTTCTGGTCCATCGAGTACAGAAGACAATTGTGCCCAGCGGTGTACAGGACCTGCGACTCCTCTGCAAAGTGGACGCTGCCCTTGACAGTGGTCTTGAAGCCGAATATGTGTCTGTGGGCGAGCGACACATCGCTGCCGGAAGCGTCCTCGGGCGAGGGCCACAAGCCCCATCGAAACTCTTCCCCTCGCTCCTTTCCCAGGAGAGCGTCTTTTTATTCCCCTCGGTAGTCTTAAGTCGGGCGTGTCCCCCTACAGGGGGATTCTGGGTGAGAAATACAGAAATACTGAAAAAAAAATCCCCAAAAATATTCAAAAATAGTAAACAAGTCGTCCCCAGACTATTTTTTTACTATGTTTGACTATTCCCCCTGTATGGGGACACGCCCGACTTAACGGTAGTCTGGATCCCTGGATAATCGTCCGCCGAATCCGGTCTCTAAGGCGCCGCTTGGGGGGGCAGGGGGGCCCGGTTTATGAAGGCGTTCTTTGAACGCCGACGTTCACAGGGGTCTGGTTTACCAGGGCGCCCTACGCACGCGAGATGTTCGATGCTCGTGCTCGTGACCACCAGCCCGCGGAGTTCGAACCATCATCATGACCATCACCATCACCATCACCATCACCATCACCAATTGCATCCTGATGAACATCGTCATCATCGTCGTCGCTGCCCGTCACCACCATCATCATCAGCACCATGTTGGCCTTGCGAACCAGTTGGGTTTTCGACATACGTGGGGGTCCTCGCACTTTTTGGCTGTTTTGTCGGGGGCCAAGTTTTTATTGTTCCTGGGGCTCCGTGTGCCTCGCACATGCTCTGCGGGGGAACATGGATACTAACAGCCCTTGCGCCCATCACGTCACTCAACAGCGCGTTCCAACCTCCACGTCGGCAGCAGCGTCTACTCATCGCCACCGTAATCCCCGAGGTTACAACCACAATGAACGATCGCACTCGCAATGATGCTGGGGGGGGTCCGGAATATAAAGACGCCTTCTGCGGAGAAGGGGCCGGAAAATTATGTCGCGAAGGAAGGGGGGTCCCGTTATTGGTGGGGGTCGAATATTGAGGATCCACTGGGGTGGGCGGGTCCACCCGCCAAGGGGTGGGGGAACAGGAACGTAGCGGGCTCGGGCATGGCACTCGCAGTCGCGATGGTAGTAACAGCACCGGCAATAGAAAGAGCACCTGCAAAGGCCACGAAAATAAACGGAATTCTGCCAAATCGGAATAGAATACATGGAATTCTGCCAGACGGACCTCTCGCCCCGCATGCCGACATCATTCGAACGCCCGGGCGCGCGTGCTGGGGGGGCACCACACGTGTCAAATAGCACCATGCAGGCCACTCTCGCGCGTCGGCCGCGCGCGCATGTCGAACTCTTTCCACAACCTTCATCACCGACGCGAAGACGCCGTCATCGTCGTCGGCGTAATCAACATCGGCGCCGTCACTGGCCGTTCCGTCGCCGCTGTCATCATCGTCACCAGCACCGCTACCGTTATCATCACGTGTACCGGTCTCGACGTTGACATGATGCCGCGCCCGCCCAATTCGCCGACTCGCAATGAAGTGCCCGCTGGGATGTGCCCAGCGGTCAGCGCCACCGCGGCCGCGTCGGTCGCGCCAAACTGGCTGGCCGCTGCGCGTGCGAGCATGCGCGGGCCCGCGCGGCCGCAGTCATACACCAGCCAACACCAAGCACTCATCGCAATCGCCGCCGCGTGGGATTTGCAAACCAAGTTGCGGGTGGGCGGGTGGGGCGATTGCACGAGCAGCGGAGTTGACAACTTACTGCGAACACAAATTAATTCTCTTTTTCTAAAAGAGAATAGACTCCCCCCCCTGGCGTTATCGGCCCCCCTTTGAGATACGCAAATCAAATATGATTATGACCACATGTCCATCCAAAATATAAAATTACACAATCCCAAGGGGGCCGGTATCGGCCCCTCTGAGGCTTCTTTGTGAAACAATACGCGGGGACATCGTTAGTTCTAACATAAGACTGTTTCGCAAATCCCTTGCAAAAAAATTGGACGATGTGCACACGCGCGCGTCGTCGCGCGCGCATGCCGAAATCCTTCAAAAACCTTCGGTGTCGGAAGGATTTCGCAATCGCGATTCCAAAGAACATACAAAAAAACAAGGTTTCGCAACACTGATTTGCTAAAGAAGCTTACGCGCGAGATCTGGCGAAATCTGTTTTAAATGGTTCTTCAAGATTTTCACAAAATGCTACCACACGGGATTCGCGCGCACATGTCGAAATCTGTCGAACGCCCTTGCGCGTGTGCCGTCGCGAATCCTAAAAGAATGGGACGAATTGCAGACGCGCGCGTCGTCGCGCGCATGCCGAAATCCTCCAAAACCAATCGGTTTCGGAAGGATTTCAAAATCGTCTCCAACAAACATACAAGAACAAAGGTTCGCAACACGGCTTTTCAACAAAAGCGTGCGCGCGCGCGCTCTTGCGTCGTCGTCGTCTTCGTCGCCGTCCTCCCTCCTGCCGCGTCGTCGTCGTCGTCGTCGCCTACGTCGTCCTCTGTCTTTCCTCGTGTTCGTCGTCGTCGTCCTCTTTGGCGTCGTGGTCGTTTCCGTCGTCGTTGTCGCCGTGGTCGTCGGTTCCTCTTCCCTCGACGTCGTCGTCCGTCGTCGGCGTCTCGTCGTCGACCCTCCTATTTCGTCGCCGTCGTCGTCGTCGTCGTCTTCCCTCCTCCCTCGTCGTTGTCGTCGTCGGCGTCGCCGCCCTCCCTCCTTCGTCGTTCGCGTCGTCGCCGTCCTCCTTCTTCCCTCGTCGTTGTCGTCTTTGTCGCCGTCGTCGTCCTCCATCCTCCCTCGTCGTCGTCGTCGTCTTCGTTGGCGGCGTCGTTGTCTTCGTCGTCGTCGTCGGCGTCGGCGTCGTCGTCGTCGGCGTCGTCGTCGTCGGCGTTGTCATCGTCGTCGTCGTCGGCGTCGTCGTCGTCGGTGTCGTCGTCGTCGTTGTCGTCGTCGAAGACGTTGGCGACGTCGTCGGTGTCGTCGTAGCCGGCGTCGGCGGCGCCGTCGTCGTCGTTGTCGCTGTCGTCGTCGTCGTCGGTGTCATAGCAAAGTGCCAAGTGGCACCTACGGTCACGGTCTTGTCTTGAGAGGTCTTGCGACCAAGTTGCGGGTGGGAGGGTGGGATGTTTGCACGAGCAGTGAAGAGGACAGCTTCAAGACGGTCAAAGTGAAATCGCACCACACAGACTGCCCCACACCGATTGCAAGATAGATGTGTGTATATATAGACATATTGTATATATATATATATATATATACGCGGGAAGCACAATCTGGCGGCGACAAGCGCCCAGGCGCGCCAAGCCCCGACGACGGGCACGACGCGCCCCCTCGCGAGCGACGCAACGGCGGCATAGCCCACAGCGGCGCGGCCGCCTCCGCAGTGGAAATCACCGCGGCGCGCGGCGAGAGGGCAGCGCACGGGCATGACACCCCTGGGCGCAACACCAGCGTTGCACCCAACACGCGCAAAATAGCGCGACGGGCGTGGGTGGGGAAAAACATAGCAGGCAGCGGGCCCGCGCGCCCGCGGCAAATTTGCAAGGTCGCCTGCGCGGCGCCGCGGCCAGCCCGCGCCCCGATGGGCCACGCGCGCACCTGTGATCCCCGCCTGCGCGGCGAAGGCGCGCGCGCGCGCTCGGACCGGCCCCCCCCCCTTGCGCGCGCGCGCCCGCCGCCGGACGCGCGCCGCGCGCTTCGCCCGACGGCCGCGCGCTACTCCCTGCTGCCCCCCATCGGATCGCGCCCGCGAACAGGCGAGCTTGCGCGCCCACCAGAATCCGGCGGCGACCAGCGCCCAGGCGCGTCGCGCCCCGACGACGCGCGCGGCGAGCCCCCTCGCGAGCGCCCCAACGGCGGCGTCGCCCACTGCGGCGCGGCGCCGCCTCCGCGGCAGAAACCGCCGCGGCGCACGGCGAGGAGGCAGCGCGCGGGCGCGACTTCCACTGCAACCCCGAACGCTGCTGCCGACAACGCCGGACACCAAATGCAAGACGCGCGCGACGGCAGCCGCGCACGCGCATTCACGGTCCGCGGAGGGCCGAGTCAGGCGGCGGCTCTCGCGGATGCCAGCGACACCGCCTCCCCGGCGGCAGCGCACTCGAGTTCCGGGCGGCCCAAGTACTCTGTGGATGCCCCGGGCGACTCGCCGCCCGCCCTCAGGGCGCCGCCGCGGCAGCCCCCCACCCCGCGCACCTCCTCCGCAGACACTTCGACGCGAGCCCTTGCGGCCGAGGCATACCCGCGGCTCTAGCAGCGGACCTCAGCTGTCGCGCATCCATGGGCAACGCTTTAACTGCCATGCTTCAACTCGCGACGCACGCCGACGAAGGGGCGCGCGCCTTGCGGCACTCTGCCCGGGGCAGCCACGGGCGCGCGCACTCGGCGCGCGCACTCGGCGCGTGGCGCACCAGCGCCACGCGTGCCTCTGCGCGGATGCGGCACGTTTTCCTTCTGCTAAAATGTTGCACGGCACTGCGCTGGCGCACGGCAAGCCCGGCCTCGGTGACCTTCTCGCGAAGCTCTTCGCAACTGAAGAAGAACCGCTCTGAGGAGCCTGTGCGATGAATCGCGACCCCCAGGCCCTCCGACGGCAACCTGGTGGCGGAGGCGAAGCACATCACGCACAGCGCCCGGAGTGTCGGGCCCGCCACGCAGGGCAGGAGACGCAGGAGGCCGTTGTGCAAGAGGCAGCGCTTCTCGGGGCACCCCCGTGGGTTGCGCCTCGAGGTGGCCGCGCGGCCCCCCCCGACTTCCCGCGCCTCGAAACAATCTGCACTGAGACGCACCACCCTTGCGCCAGGCGCGTCGCAGCCAGGCACTGGCGCTGAGCCGCAAATCTTACGCTGCAGAAACACATGTGACCAAAACACACCATTTTCCCTGTCGCGATAGCCTCGTCGGCATCGAAATCCGCCAGCTTCGCCTGCGCCAGGACCTCAACCGCCCCTATCTCTTGCCGCTCGCACAGCGCCGCTGCGGCGTCGAGCCACCCAGGCGGCGCCGCCTTGACTGGCCCGCCCTCCACGCGCGCAACGCTGACGCTGCCGAGAAATTCGCGCACCTCGGCCATCGCGGAGAACGCGCAAATCACCGCGCGTCAC